GACTGCTTAAGTGTGCGGGCACACGCGTGCCCACGATCCTGGGCCGGCGGGGGTGTGGGGGCTCTCTGAGACCCTTTCGGGGGTGCTGCATCTCTGTTTTTCTCTCTGTCTCTCTCACCTTTGGAGTAAATAAACTGAAAGAAAGAAACTCCCTGTGGGTCAGTAGGGCACACTGAAATAAAGGTGGTATTACAGTTACTGTTCATGATGCCACATCTTCAAGCGCGTTGTATGTTGGGTACCTTTCTGGGGGCTTTCCGTGTATTCTTCGAATCCTTGTAACGATTCTTTGAGAAGGGTCCTCTTACTAGCCGGTTTTACGGATGAGGAAACTGAGGCCCGGGGGGCTAACGTAGCCTGTCCTTGCTGCCACAGCTGGTTAGCAGCTGGTCAGTTGTGAGCTTCCTGACTGCGTGGCTGTCTTTTTGGTCGAGGGAGTGCGGCCCAGAGACCCGTGCTCTTCATCACTGCCCTACGCCGCTTAAAACAGGCCAAGCGCAAGAAGGAGGCTTTAAGAAAGAACAAATAAAATGACCCCAAAGAATGAAAACTTTAGTTTCACTAATCATGTAAGTGCACATTAATGTAAAAAATATTTTCCTTACTAATAAAGTGATGAGAATTACAGATTTCAGGGACTGGTGGCAGACAGGTGTCTCTCCCAGCGAAGAGTTAGAATGTGTGTCCCATTGAGAACAACTTTGCCACGAGTCCACATCAGAATGCTTGGAGTGATTTTGGATCAGTCTCTGAGGGTTAAGGCTGGAAGTTCTGCTGGTGGCAGAAGGGACGTGCCATTGTCTTTGGTCAGTCTTCTGGAACCTTGTCCCAAGGTCAAGTTTTTAACTTCAGGTGTGCAGGCGGGCATGTTCGTGGCGCTAAGCAGGGTCTGAAAGCTAGTCCTTTTTCAGAACGAGTAGGATCTTCCCAGTGACAACTGCATAGATTTAGAAGCGTGACTGAGGATTTCCGGGGCTTTCATTTGAGGAAGTCTCTCCTAGAGATATTGCCACCAGGGCTTCAGCTTTGATTGCAAATTTGAAATTATAAATTTATTTTAGTGTGACATGATGGAATTTGAGAGATATTTCATAATTGATCTCAAATAGCCTCAATTGTTGACAAATGATTCTTAATGTTTCATTTGGTGCAAGATGCTGGGAATCTAGGTCTGATTCCTTTATTCAAGCTCAGTAGATGGTTTGGGACAATTAATTTCCAATTGTTTCCCAGTAGAGCAGATTTACTTGTATATTAATGAGGCACAGGTGTTAGGCCCCTGGTGTCTGCATGCCTGGGAGGCATATTTCAGTTGTTTATCTACCCAGCCGTAGGTACTGCAAGGTACTCGAGCTTGCCTTTCACAGTTTTTACAGTGAGGCTTTTTAATTTTTGGATTTTTTTTTTAGGAATTTGCCCACACCTGTTAAAATTTGAAAACTGATCATGTAGAAAGAAGTTGCAGAGATTTTTAATAGTAGATAGCACACACAGTTGGTTATTTTTTTAAATTCTACGACAACAGTTAACTGCCCAGCCTGACATGAAAGAGAAACGGGTTCGTTTGAACAGATATTTCATGTCTGATCAAATTAATAGTATAGTTTTTGTGGTCGTATATTTTTGGAGCAGGTATACCTTTGTCGATGGCTAAAGCAGTTCATACGTTTCTATTAATACTCATTTTCCCCCTGTTTATTCACTGAAGTGCACTACCAACATTTTAGAGGAAATGGAATAGCCTCCGTAGACATCCTGAATTTCAGTAGCTGGCATAATTATAGCTATCTACATATTCATTAAATCTACAGAAGAACTGTGTCCAAAGAGACAACCATGCGTTCAGAAACAGTACACAACCAAATATATACGTTTTAAAAGTTGCATTTCTGAGACTTCCTTAAAATTAATTTCCTGTAGCACTCCTCTCCAAACGGGAGAATTTTAACAAAAGGGTTCCCATGCTCTGGTTCGTCCATACAGGAAAGAATGGGAAGAACTATTTGTAAACAACAATTACTTGGCAACAATAAGGCAGAAGGGGATTAATGGGCAGCTGAGAAGCAGCAGGTTCCGCAGCATTTGCTGGAAGGTAAGAGGAGAATATTTATTTACAGTTTGCTGTTGCACTGTATCAACACAGTACCTGAGCCCTGGAAGAGCACCCGGGCCGCGACCGCCGGCTTTTCCAGGAGACCGCACTGCCCATTTTTGGCCACCCACGTTCATCTTCCCCAGGACATTTATTAACAAGGTCGAACCATCTTAATCCCGACCAACTGTGATGGCCAAAGAGCCCGTTAAGAGAACTGCCTTTGCGTGTCTTCGGGTGGTGCAGAATTCAGAGCGGTACCTTTACCTTCCCCATAGGCTTTTCCAGAACCCCTAGAAGCTGGACAGGAGGGGAAGGCAGGGATTATTTTCGGGTTCCTATTATTTCAAGTGCTCTGGTTTAGTCATCCCCCCTTTTCCTGCAGATACAGCAGACGGCAAAGGATTTTCACTTTTTTTTTTTTACTAGAAACACAGAGTGGATGGTAACAAGGAAAAATGGAAGGAAATGGGGTGGGTTGTCTTCAGAAGGAAAGGGCCATCGGTTACCAAAGCTACTAATAATAGTAGCCTGCAATTTGCTTTTGAATTGTGTGGAAATATTGTCCCTATTTTTTCTCTAAAAGTGGATTAGTTTAGGTTTAAATGCATTTCTAAAATTACTTCCACTGCAAGTTTTTAGGTTTATCTGCATCGGTGGAGCGTACTGAGCCTGTGCGAGTTAAGACAGTAAGAAATGCTTGATGTATTAGACAGTTTTAGATTTAATAATTTAGATTTAATAATTAAAATACATTTTTCTTCTGTTAGATGCAGGCAGTAAAGGCAGGAGACCTGCTGCTAGGATATTTGTATACAAATATTTGTCCCCTATCCCAGTTCACTATTGCTTAACTCTTAGTTTCCTTTATTTGCTAAGAATAAACTTTAATCCAGATTTGTTTGAATGTCGCATTAAATTAAATTAGACCAAAATGTCTTTACGAATGCTTGTTACTTTCACAAGCTGATTGCTAGTTGTAAATTATATTTTTTCTGATGTGAAAGGAATGACTTCCCTGCTCAGACTGTATCCTGAATCCTCAGTTCTCAGACTGCCCTCTGCCCCTTACTCATTTAAGACCGAGCCTTAGACCTTGCATTTACTAGCTGGACCTTGTGATTCTTAATAACCCCCGCACTCCCTTTCTGATTAGAGTGTAGACGGAACTCTACCCAGGCCTGCAAGAGTTTTTCTCTGTATTTGATATAGATCTGAAAGCGAGCTTGCTTACATTTTGTGGCATAACTTTTGAAATCTTCATTTTGGGCTTTTGATTATTCTCTTTTGAATTGCCTACCGACACATTTCTTAACTGTCCGCAAGTATAAATGAGTGGGAATTGGAATGATGATGGGAATATGACAGGTCGTGTTCAGGTGATGTGTTTGTCAGTTTCTGTTTTATTTCTTGACATTTTTATAAAAGTTTCCTTTTTTTTTAAATTTTTGACAGCTGTTTCTTTGTGTTCTTCCTCAAGATAAAAGTCAATGGATAAGTAGAATTAAAGAATTAAGAGCATGGTATAACAACATTAAAGAAGTAGTAAGTAAATATTGAATTTAATTCATGTAATTATTTCCTCGTATGAAGTTTAAAGTACAGTAGTCTCTGATCTCCATGTGTGTGTCTCCTTTTTCTTTTTTTCCCAGCATATCACAAACCCGAGGAAGGTTGTTGGCCAGCAAGACTTGATGATCAATAACCCGCTTTCACAGGATGAAGGGGTAACGTTGGTCTCGCTCGTATCTCAGTCTGTCCTGCCCATCAGAATACGTTACTGGTCCTCAGTCACCACCAAAGCACTGTATTTCACGCCTCTGCGTTCTTTCCTTCCCACACTGTATTACCTGGGCCCGTCTGGGGTTATCCCGGGGTGTGCACATACCGGGTTGTCTGTAGAAGTGTGTGACCTGTCTCTGTGGGCGGCCCTCCAGAGAAGCCCCTGGCTCTGTAAGCACTAAGGGTTAAGAGAGCCTGAAGAGGAGGATGAACTAGTCTTACCAAGATGGCAGTGGGGGAGGGCTGGCAAGGAAAGCCTCTGTACTGTAGGACAGAGGAGCGCTCGCTCGGCAGGACTCACCCCCGGGAAGAAAGAATTATTTGCAGCGAGTCTGTAAAGAAGTGTTAAAAAAGTCAGATGTCCCTGTAGCCACCTTCCGGTAAAGAGGAGGGGTAAGCACTACTCTGCCAATGCTGTGGACGTCTGCAGTTGTGGCCGCTGTAATTTCTGCTGGTTACCTGAGAAGTGGACACGGTTCCCTTCAGTACATAAT